ATTTTGTTTTATGTTCAAATCGTTTCATGCCTTTAAAACGAATTTGCCTTTAGCAGAATACTTCTACCGAAAACAGAAAGATGGACTGAGTATAACCGTCCTCATCTCTAAAACGGGCAAAATGACAGGTTTGTTTCTTATTTGAGCAGAAAACGAGGCTTTTGTCCTGTGATGCAGGATGCACCCTCATTTAAGTCAAATTATCAAAAAAATAAAATATTATAATTAAACATTTCTATTCAAACTGGAGCGCAGCAATTGCAGTTGAAAAAAGCTTAAAAATAAAATGAAATTCGTCAAACACAGGCAGCACATACTGAAAGACCGTATGCCGAAGGTCGAATTTCTTACTACGCATCAAAATTCCATGGGAAAGATTGGCTACGCACCACTTATCTTATTTTTATGCTAAAAGTTGAGGCTAGAAAGAGGTTATTTGCTAATGCATTGCATTGACATAACCGTCATATTTACGCTACTTCATTTCTCAATATTTATATGAATGTTTAGACAAAAAGCTAAATAGAACTCAAAACGCATTGAAATATAACTACTTCCATTGAACGTCGTTGTGTCGATGGCGACATTCTTCCAGCTGTCGTTCCGCCTTCTTGCAACGGACGTCTGTGTCCTTTTTTTCCTGTTCAGCCGTTTTCAGCTGCGCTTTCAGCTTCCCTTCGCTACAAAGCAAATACATTTGAACGATCTCTATTCGTCAACGGTCTGACAGAGCTTCACAGAAATAACAGTGTCATTGGCAACATATTCTCTAAAACGTGCCATATTTAAGAGAAGAACCACACAGCGGTACAAATCAACATCAAAATGGTTATGTGGCAGGTGAAGGAGCACAGGATTCAAGCATCTGAAAATTTGGAGGTATTGAAAAGACCCAAGCAAGCTTGTCTTGGGAGGGGGGCTAAGGACGTGGTTATAGGAAAATCTGCTGAAGCTGTTACCGCTATTCCCTCAAAGGAAAATTCAAACTGTACAAATCTTTTGTCTTTGGTCCTGTTATTTTGCCAAGCGAAGCATAGCATATCTGCATATTGTAAAAATCCAGATTCTGCAAATATTTGAAGAAATGATAAGAATTATTATGAAACCTGGCGAATGGACATTTACTGGCATTTTCTTAATTGGAATGAATGGCTCTTGTATATTTGTGCATCAATCGTTCAAAAAATCACAGTAGGCAAAAAACAATAAATTCTCTCAAATTTTGTATCCATAACCAATGCCAGTATTTCAAGTAAGAATCGTTCAACACATTAGATCCTTTAGGAATAACGATCCCGGTGTTATGGGTTTGCTAGCAAATTGCTAGTTTTCAATACCGTCGTGGCAAATGGCATTTTCCTGCTTCTTTTCTCGATTTATACGACGTAGCCCACCGTCCCTTGGCTTCTAGTAGTTAAGAAGACCAAATGAAGGTGAACAGCCAGCTTACGGCTTTACGATATTTTTGCACCTGCTGTGCATGAGGCACGAAACAGCGCCATTTGCTGAATCAAACATGCACACAATTGAACACTAATGAATATGCCTCAATCCGTAGGCGTCATCGTCAGCCTTTGTCGATCAACTGTTTGATGAAGGTCTCTCCTAGACCTTGCTGTAAACATCTATTTTCTGCAATTTTCACATATGTCGATTCAGAGAACTTTCTCAACTCATCAAGCACTCGATCCTCAGGTCTTTGTACGAACTGAGGTCATTTTAGAACCTAGTCTAGTGCCTCTTTGGTTGAGCGACTGTCGGATCTTCGGGTAACATGTCCTCCCTACTGCAACTCTAACTTCTTCACTCTGATACTGACGTCATTGACTCTCATATATGATCTCATACATTCATTCGTCCTCCCATCTTTTCTTGTTATTCTCAATATACATGCTCTTTCTATGCAGTGTTGCGTAGTCTGCAGGTTATGAACGGCTTTCAGGCTTATGGTCCACGTTTCATACCCATAGGTTAGCACTCAACGCAAGCACTCATCGAATTCTCCCCGTATAAGGTGCATAGGCATTTCCCGCACAGAAACATTTGCAGCCTTCCAAAACTGCTCCATCATATTTTAGATTGAAATGATATGACCTGGACAGACGTAGCTTTGCCCGATTTTAAACATTGATTCATTTTGACAAATGCTTGGGTCACGAAATCGCTAAGCATGACCTAAGTCTAATTCAGATTCATTTTCGGCCAAGCCATGATACTTGTATCGGTCAGCTTTTGGGCTCTTCTTTACAGTGTTTCTACCACGATGAGAGGATCAGAACATCATCTATAATCCGCAGGTCGCCTAAGTAGTGCCTATTTATATTCAACCCCTGATTTTCCCAACGGGTTGTCCTGAAAACCTCTTCTGTGGCTGCTATGAATAACTTCTGTGAAATTTCGTCTCCATTTCGAAACGCTTCTTAAATGTTCTTTTGTTTTTTGACCTCAGCCAGCAAGTACATACGCCATAAATAATATGGTGCTGTTCTGTACCCCGTGCATTTCAGGTGCTACCATGGAGCTGTGGCTAATTAAGCGGTA